TGATGCCGAACCCATGCCGAACCTGAAACAATTGCCGTGAAGGTGCCGGTTCCGAACCTGAAATAAATTGTCGTAGAGGTTCCGACCGTTAAGATAATTGACCACGGTGGCTGCAACCCTGAAAATAAGTCACAGTAGTGGTCCCAAGTCTGAAACAAAGTGACGCCGAGCCCATACCGACCCAGATACACGCTGGATACCGTAGGATGTAGCCAGTCCGTAACAAATACCGAATCTCTCTGAGCCACGTATCCGTACCAAGCCAAATACCATACTGTCAGCCCAAGGTAGCACCACCCACGCCGTCCATGCGACCACCCTCGGACTGACTCATTGAGGTTTGTAATCAGATAAATCGCGAAAGCGAGACATATGATGCTGATCATCAGGGGATAGTAAAAAAAAGTTAGAGTTCAGAGAATTTGATCAAATATGGGTTATGAACTGACGGTGGCTAATCCAAGCAAAATCAGGCCAGACATCGAATAATCATTAGTTCTTGTTCGTTCCATCATTTCTAATTATTCTACCCCCTTTTTAACCGTAAGTCCACCAAAAACAAATTTCGAGGGAGTCTTGATTAAATTGTGAGAATTCTTTTGTTTCATTTCTCCTTTATCATTTTTAATCTTTTTCTTTTGTTTTTGATTTCATTGCCGGAAACATATAATAACGAGGTATTTTCTCCAAAATTTTAATGCTACAGAAAATAAGGAAATTAACGAATACTACATTTTTCTTCCCTCCTACTGTTCTTAATGTTTTCTCCCATTTTTATATTAGGTACCAAAATTGACAACAATTTGAGGCGTTATTCCAGCCCCGATCGTATGCTGCAAAAACATTGCGGCGGGGTCAACCCACGCGATGCCTCCCCACGGCCAGCCATCCCAGGTCTAACCTCAGAACGGGCGGAAATGACGGTCCCTAGATGTGCTGGGAGCGGCTACCCATTTCGCCATCTTTGAGAGTTACTCGTAAGGTTTAGTGCGCCCAAAATCTGGGGTGCCGTGAGCTCCCCTAATTTTTGCTGCCTGGACAAACCAGAGTACCATCAAAACACGAATTTGTTTTTGAGCCTAAGTCCTAAAGCCACAAATTTCAGGCGGCTCATTGCTTGTGGCCGCCAAACAACGGGACCCCACTGTTCGAAGAATTGCCTCAACGCAGAATCTTATACGTTAAAAGAATATGAGAACAGAAGAAAGAAAATAGAGTGGGGATCAGACGAGGAAGAAAAAAAGGAAGAGGACGAGGGACTGGTCCTGAGCTTGGCTAATATAGACCAGGCAATGTGCATTGTCTCAGCCTATGAGATGGCCGACCAAGAAGCCATAATGACCTTGGCTGACAGACTGGGCGAATATCCCGAAGGAGGAAGAATGAAATTAGTATACAGACCACCCCCGCGAGATGTAAAAATGCAGGGACCATATGCCCAATCAAGCGGTCAACATTTTTTAGGGGTGGGCTCAAGCAAGGAAGCAAAAGGAGGTACAAGACAATTGATAAAAAAAGTCGTCCAGTCCCAATACTACTAACACACGAAGAGAGTGTGTACTATGAACAGGAGAAACAACTGATAAGACAAATGAAAGAAAGATGAGATGAAAAGGCATGCCGTATCAATGAGGAGACGGAAAAGGACCTGATTATTGGGGAGTCCGGGTTTCTGACTGACCGGGGAAAGGCATTGGTGGTAGGTTTAATGAGGGAGAAACATTATGCCTATGCCTTTAATGATAATCAGAGAGGGAGGTTAGATGTGGACAAGGTAGGGATGATCAGAATCCATACGGTCCCGCATCAGCCTTGGAATATTAAAAGAGCCAGGTACCTTAATCCTAATGATCAGTGGAGAGTGGTGGAACACCTTGATGGGAAGATTGACTCACATGTGGCAGGGTTTTCTAGTGAGTCATATGCCTCACCATGGTTCTGCTTTATCAAACCAAACGGGGTACTCGGGTGGGTGCAGGACTTGCAGAGACTAAATGTCGTGACTGTTAGGGATGCTGGAGGGCCCCCTAACGCTGATCAACTTTCCGAAGCATGTGCAGGGAAGTCTATTATTTCTCTTATAGACCTCTACTCTGGTTATGACCAGTTTCCAGTTTATCCGGCCGATAGACCGACAACTGTGATGCACACTCCTAGGGGACTGATCTACATGCACGCAGCACCTCAAGGGTGGACTAATGCGGTAGCCATGGTTTAGAGGAGCATGGTCAGAGTAATGCAGCCGATTAGTTCTCAAATCACTGAGCCTTATATCGACGATCTTGCAGTAAAAGGGCCGATGATAAGGGATGAGCAAGAGGTTGCACCTGACACTCGAAAGTTCGTCTGGGATCATGTGAATAATCTCAGGAAGGTGCTTGATCTCCTGCAAGAATATAACCTCACGGCGAGCGGTGCAAAATCCAAACATTGCATGAGAGAGACGACCATTCTTGGGTTTGTGTGTAATGAGCAGGGTAGTCGTCCGGATACCAAGAAAACGAACAAAATTCTTGAATGACCAACACCATTCAAGAATATAGGAGATGTGAGATGTTTTCTTGGGACATGTGGGTTCTGGAGGATATTCAACAAAAGGTTTGCCGCTAAGACTGAGCACGTAAGGAAATTGGTAAGGAAAAATCAGGAATGAGAGTGGGGAGAGAAGCAGGAGCAGGTGGTGAGAGATTTGAAGAATGAATTTGAGGAAGGATGTCTGATATTGGGGGTTCCGGACTCCGAGGCGATCTTAGAACGCCCCTTCATAATAAAAACTGATGTCGGACTAACAACCTTGAGAGGAGTCTTGATACAAGCGGATCATGGGGGTAAGGAAAGACCGTTGCGCTTTGAGAGTCGAACTCTCAATTCAACTGAAAGGAATTACTCCCAATTCAAGAAGGAGGCCTTGGCAGTATTACACTGCCTACGGACCTTCAAACATTATCTCTTTGGGAGAAGATTCATTCTAAGGGTAGATTCGACCGCCCTCATGTATTCTCTTAGGAACCTCTCGCCGCCAGCTGATCCTACGGTCGCCAGGTGGCTCACCTACATCTGGATGTTCGATTTTCAGTTGGAGCACATTCCAGGGAATAAGAATAGAGCGGATGGGTTGAGCAGGATATAGTGGGAGAAGCCTGGAGAGGCTAAGGAGGAGACGCCACCGGTAGACGGATTCTTGGAAGAAGATGACATGCAGCTCCACGTTAACGCATGGGCCTTAAGAATCAATGATAATGAGGTGCGAGAGGAAAAACCTATGTGGTACGCACCAACGACTTTTATGAAGGATGAAAGGTTGGTATTAAAACCTTTCGTCGAAAAGGACCCATGAGGAAAAAGAAATGCGGAATGGATGGCAGAATTAGCCTTGACTGAAAGTTACAGGTTGACAGAGGAACTTGTTACGATTGAGGCAGGTGCATGGCAGGTGGACCGACACCTATTAACAACAGGGAGAGTACATTACCTTGTCAACTCTCTCCTACAAGTCCGGACCAAAGAAGATAGAGAGACGATAAAGGCAGATGAGATAATTTTGGAATATAACTTCGAATTTGATGAGGAGATGGAAGGAGAGGAATTTGAGCAAGGTGAAATCTCGAAAGATTTCCGGGAAGAAGAGTACGATGGGTTTCATCTAGAAATGAGGCTTCTTCTCTCAGGCGACAAGCAAGAAAGGGAAGTTAGTGAGAAAACTCTCTGCATAAGGGACCATTATGCAGTAAGGGGTGACCATCGCTTCATCAGGGATAAAAGAGGACCTCCTAGAAGGGTTATATGTGGCAGAAATCGGCTGATTAATGTCATAGCTGCCCTCCATGATGGACCTGTTGGTGGTCACAGGGGTTTTGCCGCTACCCTCAAGAAAGTGACTGAGCTCTACTTTTGGGAAGATATGTACGGAATGGTTAGAAAATACTGTGAGTCATGCGTGTCGTGCCAGGTCAGATCCCCGATCAGGTATAAAGAACCTCTTCACTCAAGGTATATCAAGGATGTGGGAGTAGTTGTCCACTTGGACTTGTTAGTGATGTCACTGGGGCTTGACGGGTATAATTACATCTTTAATGCCAGATACAACCTCACAGGGTTTGTTGATGGAAAGGTCATCCGGACCAAGACTGGGGCAGTCTTGGCCGAGTGCATCAAATAATATTACCTCTGGTATCCTTTCGTGGTGGAATTCACAATGGATAGAGGGTTGGAATTCACATGTGGGGAAGTTAAAGAGTTATTGGATGATCTTGGAGTAATCGCGAAGTACACCACCATAGCACATCCACAGCCTAACGCACCGATAGAGAGAGGGCACAGCACCATCACCAACTTACTGGCAAAATGGACAGCGGAAAAACTAAACTTTTGGCCTAAGTTGCCACGGACTGTATTCTTCGTCGAAAACATCACTGTCAGGAGGACCACGGGGTACGCTCCTACGACCCTATGGTATGGAAGGCATGCCACTTTCCCAATAGAAAGCTTCCTAAAGACCTGGAGTAGGCAGTATCTTGAAAACGACCTGCCGCTTGAAGAATTGCTTGACATCCGAGCCAGATAGGTCAGTATCACAGAGGAAAGGATCCAGGAAGCAGTCGAGAAGGTGGCTGACAGTCGGGGAAAAGAAAAGGAAAGATGGGACCGACTTTCTCGCGTACGAACTGAACCATTGGCAATCGGGGACGTAGTACTGTTGTATGACTCATCCCTGAAGAAACAATGGTCAAGGACGTTGGATAAGAGATGGCTGGGACCGTATAAGGTTCGACGTCAGGGGAATCATGAAGCGTATAAGCTGGAGGAAATGGACGGAACACCAAGGCGAGACTGGGTATCCGGATCAAGGTTGAAGAAGTTCAGAACAACGGATGAGGCTTAATCCTGTAAAAAAGAGCAGCGATGACACGAAAGGGAGGGGTGGCGGAACCTTCCAGGCCAGCCTCTGGCAGGGAACTACGACAGGTGTTACGACGGGTAACCAAGGACGCGAATGGAATGCCGATCCACAAGAAGGGGGATAATTTGAGGTTGTTTCTGAGGGAGTTCGAGGATTATGCCTTCAGGAGGGAGTGAGACACCCCAACCATGTTATTCAAGGTAAATGGTGTGGGGGGGTGTCAGTTGAAGATTGAGGAAATTATCACCGACTGTCTGGGGTGGATGACTTTCAAGACAGAGATGTGGGCTGAATATGGGGACCTGAGGAGAAACGAAATCGAGGAGGATATCATCTTCGATGAGACTAATGTGGAGGATTTTGAGGAGAGTATTGCTCTGTGTGCAGAGAAGAAATGGTGGAAGGAAGAGGAAAAGCTGGAACAGGTAATGACGAGAGTGGACTCCAGGGAATATGAAAATATGAAGAAGATCAAGGAGGAGTCAGATACCTGGGGACGGTTTCTTGTCAAGTTTAGAAGAACCTACACTCTGGCCATACAGAAACAGAAGAAAAGACAGTTACTTCAAGAGCAAGGATTGTGGATAGGGAGAAGAGGAGACAAGCTGGAAAGGAAAACTCGAAAGAAGATTGATGAGGATGATGTACCGCTCAGACAGGTGCTTGACAGAAAGAGAACAACAATTCAGAAGAGAAATGAATCAGCAAGCAAGACCACAAGAGTACAAAAGAAGAGAAGAAACGAGGAGAAGAAGCAAAGCGAGGAAGAAGAAAAGGGAGAGAGGGAACATGATATGATGAGAGCGGAAGAAGGGAAGAAGGAAATGGAGGAGGTAGCAAAAGAGAAAGAGGGCACAAAAAAGAAGAAGAAGAAGAAAAAAGAGGGAGAGAAGAGACCGGATATGGTGAGTGGAGAAGAGGGGAAGAAGGAAGTAGCAAAAGAGAAAGAGGACAATACGGAGAAGGAAAAGGAGGAAGAATAGGGGAATCAAGCTGAGAGAGAGACTGGAGTGGCAGCAACTGAAAATCCTCGCAGGTGACCATGATCAAGGAGAATGATCAAGGAGGAGAGAGAAAAGAGAGAGGAGGAAAATGGAAAAAGAGGTGGAGAGCATGAAGGCTGAAATGAGCAAAGTGAGTAAGAAACGAAAGAAATTAAAATAGCAAGTTGAATCACAAGGACAAGGAGGTGAAAACAGAGAGGGTTGAACGAGAAAAGTTGGAGAAAGAAGTTGGCAAGCTGGAAGGGAGAGTTAGTAAGCAGGAAAAGGACATGGAGGCTCTCAAAAAGGTTAGTTAGGGAGAAACAGAGGCACCTACGAAAGTTGTTGAGTGGAACGACGAACTGGGGTTTGAGATCAGGAATGTTACAGGGGTACCTCAAGCACCAGGGCAAAATTCAGAAGGAACAATTAGAGAAGTATTGGGACCGAGAAAAAAGAATAATGATCAGCCTACTGTCATTCCAGCTTTTGATAACAAGCTGGTTGAGCTACTGGCATCAGACACTGTTACAAAGTCGTTTAATGAAGGCGAATCCAGGGATGGTAAAAAGAGACCTTGTTCTGAGATGGAGGAAGCAGGTGGAGAGAAGGAGATGACATTCTCACATCATTCTGCCAAAAAACCAAGAAGTGAAGGCAGAAAAATATGTTGGCATTGCATGAAGGGGATGCATCTGAGAGAAGAATGCCCAGGGTTTAAGTTTGATAAGGAAAAGGGTTTGGTAAAGTTGAATGAGAACAAGAAGCTTATTGACAGGGAAGGGAACATTGTTAAGAAGGCTAAGGATGAGTTTAGGGCTCAGTTGTATAGGCAATTGAACCTTGGCATGATAGACTGTGGGGAAAGTATGTGCCTTGACCTTCTATGTTCTCTACAACCATTCACGCTTCTTAGCAAGACTTTGTACACTATGGGTAGAAAATGTAAAGTAGGTAGGGTCTCTTTTTTATGGGACATAGTAATGTACATTAGCAGCAGAAGAGGGTCGACAAGTTTTGAAACCTTTGTCTTGATATAGAATTAGCTTGGCATATGTACTTTAGTGAGTAGGGACAAAGAGGCATGTAACTCGTACTTCGCCTATCATTTTTCTTTTCCTCTTTTGGGAGGAAAACCATTTTCTTTACTTTCTCTTCCTTCTCTTGAGTCATATATTATGAAATTTTATGGGGTTTGCCGACGAGGAACGCTTTCACTTTCACAAGATGAGTTGATCCAGTGTCTGGTCTTGTTTGGTGAAATGTGTATCTTGGATTTGTGTATAAACAGAGCTATCAAGTCTTGAACTAGGATGCTCATAAAAGCGCCCAAGTGTTCAAGAAAGATAGAGTGAAATGTGACATGTACGGTCTGAATGTGCTTTGACATTGTGGATCATTCATGATTTATCTTATATTGTAACTGTTGAGAATGACCCTTTAAAGGGGGTATGAAAAAGTTAAAAGCTTTGATATGCTTGAGCAACCCTGCGAGACAGGGGAAAGTATGTTATGAATGGAATGATTATTCTTTTTCTGCCTTCTGACAAGACAAGGAGTCAAACAAATACCTTTTATTATTTTTTTAATGGATATTTTGGTTGACTTTTTCTGTTGGTTGAAGATTCCCGAGACGTGTGTCTGTCCAGCTTGTGATCGAGGTCTGGGCGACACGACCCCTAAGTGGCTCTGACGATGTTCCTCGTTCAGTGACATGTGACAATCATGATATATCATTCTTATTGGTGAAAAGTTATATATATATTTTCAAGGAGGTTCATTCATCCAAACTGACGAGGGGATGAGATTCTTTGGTTAAATTGTTTATATATATATATATATATATATATATATATATATATATATATATATATATATATTTGAAATGATCATCGTTCATCCACTCTAGGTGGTGAGTCTGAGGGACTTGAAATAACCAAGCCTATGCTGGAAATTGGCATCGTTGGGACGTAACTCCCAGCGTGGACTGCTCACCAAGTATAACCAGGCAGCGGGCCTTCCGATTACGGCCTATGACTAAAACCTGAGAGGGGGTCTCCTTAATGATGGAATTGGTTCAGGTAGATATTGGAGGGATCAAGAGTCAGGTCTAGAATGATATGAGAAATCTACCCGATATTGCGTAACGAATACGGGAACCATCGCTAAAATAACAACGCGGTGGGCCGCAGTTCCGACCTGATCAACCGGCTGTGGTGGATTGAGGCCGAGGTTGCCGATCCCCTTGCTTTAGACTTCGGGTGGGACGGTAAAATTTGACTTAGGTCAAGACCCGCGTCCAAAGAGTGAGATTCCATTTTGATTCCAAACTCTTCAGGATACCCAACGAGATCCTGGCAAATAAAGTCTAAAGTTGGGGGGAGGAGCTATCATTGTCTTCCTTGGTGACCTCCGCAACTGTAGTACGGATCCAGTATGCCCACTTGGGTTTTTTGAAATAATCTTTTCTTGGGAATTGTCATTTTGGATATGTGGGAGACCCAGGTTCAAATCCTGGCGGTATGGACGCACCAAGGGAGACAGTGAGGGTCTCCAAACCGCAACTTCATCCAGGGGATCGGATTTTGACTGCTCGTCACGTTAGAAAACTTTTCTTTGCAGTTAGATTCCCCAGCGACGGGGACGTCGCTTAATGGGGTCTGGGAAAACTGTCGGAGCTGATACCCTTACAAGGGTATCCGCTCATGATTTTGTAGTCGACACAACGTCGGCGTCAACAGACACGCTGAAGACGGCTAAACACGGGAAATGAGGCAAACCCCTCAATCGCTATGGTCGAGAAGGTTTTGCCAGCGCAAGCACCAGAACATGACGCACACAAACTAAAGTCGATGGTTAAACGTTTTCGGATGTTCGCCCGCCTTGTCATGACTAATGCAGAGACAGTAAAGATTAGGGGATTAAAGTGTGAATGACCAACGCGTGTCGCCTTGACCCTCACAAAGTCTGAGAAAGGGTTAGTAAATTAAAACCTCCGATCACGAAGGTCGGAAGATTAGTCGAGCAGAAAGGGTCGCACGGAAGGCGACAACGCTTTTTCCTTAGTTTATCAACAGCTAAGAAGGTAAGTTTGGTTCGGCTTAAATCAATAGACATCGAAAGTATCAAGTAAACGGTGCGGTATAACTACTTGCCGCAGGTTAGGACATAGGGTGGAATTACTACAGGCGGCCAGGGCAACTGGTAAGATAGTCAGGCTGCCGTAATGAGCTACGTCAGTTGCAGAAATCTGGGTCTACTCCTAGGAGAGACTGTAGACCATGCATCAGCAAAAGGAGAAGAGGGACGCACTACACTTATACTGGGAAAACTCCTACTATAACCATGCTCGGAGCTAGCCCAGTAGGTATGAGTGCGGACTGATATACAGAAGATGCATGGATCGAATCAGCCGGACCACGGGCTAGCTCCTTTTTTGGGTAAGGAGTTAGATTTCGCCCCACCGTTATTTCGACCGTATTCAAATAAGTGGGATTCGAACTCACGATCTCCATGATAAAAGTGGTTGGGGTTGGAAGGATTTAGGCTTTTGCACGTGCCATGAACCCGACAGGTGCACGTACAGGGAGCAACGAACGGAATTCAGTTAAAGTTTCTTTATTTTTCTTTTTCTGAGATATATTAAAATTCGTTCCTTTTTCCGTATCTTACCTGAAGTTTCGAGGAAGATTCATGGGTAGCTGGGATAAGAAAACCAAATATACACTTTACCTAAAACCTCGGGGGCACGTAGCAGCAGTCTTCAACCACTTTTCACCTGAATACTAATCACGAACACAGTTAGATTTATCTATGATGAATATTCGAGATGTACATCGGTTATTACTGTTATTATTATTATTATTATTATTATGATTTCTTCTTACATTATTCAGTGAATGAATCTGCCTCGATAAAAAGGGCATATTCTTCAAACTAAATGGCAGAGGCCGGGTACTCGCGATGACAGACTCGGAAGCACTTCGAGCAAGAGCTCAGAACCGAAGCACAGCAGACACGGGCAAAAGCAGAAAGCGATAGTAAGCACAGGAAGCAAAGCGAACGTGCAAGCGAGAGTGAGCGCGAAGAACATGCAAACGTGCGAACGTGTGACCAAGGCAAGCAGAGGGAGGTGTGAACAAGCGAACGTGCGAGCAAGAGCAAGCGAGAAGAACGAGCGAACGTGCGAGCAAGAGCGAGCGCGAAGAACGAGCGAACGTGCGAGCGAGAGAAAGGACACGAGAGAGAGGGGATAGGAAGTAGAAGAAGAAGAGGAGGGAAGGAGAAGAAAGGAGAAAGGAGGAGAGGGGGGAGTAGAGAAGGGCACCTACCTGACCGCACGGTCGGACGACGATGAGGTAACGGTGTGGCGTCGACGACGGTTCGACGACGACGGTGACAACGACGGGGAGCGGGAGAAAGAACGAGTAAGTCTCGTTTGCTCGCGACCGATCCCGGTGTTTCCATCGATAGGACGAGCAAATAAATAAATAAATAAATAAATAAATAAATAAATAAGTAAATAAATAAAACGTAGAAATCGAATGAATATATCCCTGCAACGTGGGGATATACATTACCACATTTGTACTACGTACGTGTGTGTGTGTGTATGAAAGGAGAGAGAGAGTTCTTCTTCTTCCTCTTCTAAGTCCTCCATCTCTTTTTCACCCTCTCTTGATCTGACTTCTAAGTATCTGCGGACTACGGGAGAGAGGGAGAGAGTGGGGATAATCAAGGTTTGAATGGGGATGACGAGTTACATACCTGGTACATGAAGAGAGGTCGCCGATGGTGTGGACAGTCATATACATTGGTCTTCGTGAACCGAAGTGATCCTGTTATGTGAGCCAGCAGAAGTATAGGATAGTATGGTAGAGTAGGTTGGGCGTTGTGTGCAAACAGAGAGAGCGACTCTGGATACTGTGGTGGTGTGGCCTACGGGCTTGGACATTGGCTCAATACTTCATTGTATTGCTCTTTATGGATGATTTTCTCAGTGCATTTGTACTCTCTGCTTGGACACGACTACCTGGACATTTGTGT